AAGTATCAAATTTAAAGGTCTAAATTATAAATCTTTGTATTTTATTGAATGAAAAGTTTTTAGCCCTTAAATGATTGTTCAGACTCATAATTTTGGTGCACATGATGCTGCACACTGTCATGCATTACTGAAGCTCTTTTGCAACTGAGGTACCATATATAGCCACAAGGGGTCAGCAGCCAAAGCTGATTTTCAGATGATAAAAAAAGACTGCAAAATAGGGCCAATGAAATCTTGAAATCTTGTCAACAACTACTGGAATCTCTCATCTGAGATGACTGATTGAAAACAGGTAGGTCATTTCACAGAAATGTGACCAACAACACCGGAGTAGATTAGTTAACAGGAATAAACACATTTCAGATTGCAGAGAAAATATAAGAATATGTGTAATTTACAGTGAACCATGCATTGTACACCCAGCCTTTTTAAAAATCACAAATAAATGGCATTGGAATTGTGCATCTTACAGAAAATTAACCTTAAAACATACAATATGAATAAAATGACTACAGGTACATCTAAAAAAATTAGAATATCATGAAAAAGGTCAATATTTTTTGTCACTCATTTCAGAAAGTGAAACCCATATATTATATAGATTCATTACACATAGAATGAAATATTTCAAGCCTTTATTTCTTGAAATTTTCATGATTATGGCTTACAGATAATGAAACCCCAAAATTCAGTGTCTCAGAAAATTAGAATATTGTGAAAAAGTTCAATATTGGAAAGTCATGGAGTCACACCCTAATCAGCTAATTACCTCAAAACACCTGCAAAGGTTTCCTGAGCCTTTAAATGGTCTCTTACTCTGGGTCAGTAGGCTACACAATCATGGGGAAGACTGCTGACTTGACAGATGTCCCACAAGGAGGGTAAGCCACAAAAGTTAATTGCTAAAGAAGCTGGTTGTTCACAGAGTGCTGTATCCAAGCATATTCATAGAAAGTTGAGTGGAAGGAAAAAGGGTGGCAGGAAAAGGTGCACCAGCAAGAATTTGGGGGAGCTTCACAAGGAGTGGACAGAGGCTGGCGTCAGCGCATCAAGAGCCAGGCTGCCATGTCATCTGCTGGTGTTGGTCCACTGTGTTTTCTGAAGTCCACGGTCAACGCAGCCATCTACCAGGACATTTTTAGAGCACTTCATGCTTCCTTCTGCTGACAAGCTTTATTTCACATATGTGTAATGAATCTATATAATATATGGGTTTCACTTTCTGAAATGAGTGACATGATATTCAAATTTTTTGAGATGTACCTGTATTGTTATGCATCAGTTCATGTTACTTGAAAAACTTTTATTTACTGGAAAAACAGGCATAGATATACAATCTGGTGGCATATGCCTGAACTTATTCAAACTGCCTTCCTCTCTGTCAACAAACTCCTTGTTTTATTCTCCTTGAATGAATTCTCTGAAAGCATCATCAGATATGCAACTTGGCCCTCATCTTGAGTGCGTGATAAACGATCATGCTATCAGGAAATTCTGCCTTTTCTGTGAAGGTAAAGTGATCAGACTTGTTTTCGCCTTGATCACTTCCTCCTCTGGAGCCGAGGGCCCTAAGAAAAGCCTCCAGTAGCCCACATGTATTGAGTTTCCATGTGCTGCACTCTGGAACAAAAAGCGCTTTGACGTCAAACACTGCAAACTTTTTGCGGCGCTCCCAAAAAAATTCCCATGCTTTCATGGATCCTGACATGGTGGCGATGGAAAAAGTTGACCTAAGTGCCATGGGATTTTAAGTAATAAGTGACTGTACCCTAAATAGCTCGTCCCAAGTGTGTACTCTGATAACTGAGACCCCCTCCTCTTGTCTCTTTTTTGTTCTTTCAAGCAAGTACTTATATTAACAACACCACGTCAGAAAATAGATTTCAGAGAAATGTTATATTTACCAAACTTGGTTTTTAGAGTGGTGCTTACCTATGCAAAACTTTCCCACCACACTCTAAAAAATAAATTCAGGGGACCCATTAACTTAAATAAATGCATAGTTGCAAGTGAAATATTCTGATTTATTGATTTAATTAAATGTTGCAAACATTATTTTGGTGAGTTCTGTTGACATAATAATGTTGATCATTACACTGCAACTTAATATTGTGTGTAATGTAAACAAAAATTTCTGATTTAACTGAATTTTTGATTTAGTTGTAGTAACTGTCTTGAAGTAGTACCTTCTGTCTTTTTAACTTTTTGTCTTCTGTACTAAATTTTCTTGATAACTCTGAAAACTGGACAGCAGATGCTTTGAATAGGGCTAGTGTTATGTATTTAGTTTACTAAAAAAATGCAAATTCTGTCATCATTTACTTACCCTCAAATTGTTCCAAACCTGTTTGAATTTCTTTCTGGCTACGTCAACTGTTTGGTTACCAACACTCTTCAAAATAGCGTCTTTTGTGTTCAGCAGAAGAAAGAAATCCAAATAGGTAAAGGGTGAGAAAATTTCATTCTTGGGTGAACTTTTATTGTTGTTATGCTTGAGCTTTAAAAGACTTTCTGTTATGATGAGGTTTCTGTGGTAAGATTAATTGGTGTCAGGGCCACCACTAAATTATGTTGAAATTATTAGGACAATTTTTTTTTTAGTAACTTGTGTTTATGCTACAAATTATTAAGTTCCTCTAGCTCAGTGTAATTTGGCACTGAAAATAATTTCATTTGAAGTTGTCATAATAAAAAAAAAACAGATGCAAACTGCATACACCACACTAATGTGTTGTTTATGGTTGCTGAGGTGCTGCTATGTGGTTACTAAGTTTGTTTGATATTCTGAGGCATAAACATAGCCACCATGTTGAGACTGCAAGAACTAGTTTGACCAACTAGTTTGACCACTTTTTAAAGCATGTATTTTGTAATCTGTAGTGAAATACATTTTAAAAGTAACCTTCCCAGCCCTGCATATAATTATGCAATCAGGCAAATTTGCGTCAGTAGTTTATTCAGATAAATGTTTTCCACCTGGCTGCGAGATGCATGGTTGTGCTATTAGGCTCTGTCTGCTAAGTTAATATATAAGTTTAGGTTTTTTTTAATGTTTGTTAATTCAAAACTAGCGGTGACTTAAAAACTCCTTAGAACAAATGTGTCAAAAGTGCACAGTATGAGACAGTATAAGAACACTATGGCATTTATTACATACAGTATTGCATAAATGCTGTATGTAATAAATTATTTCATAGTGTTGCATAAAGTCATACCCCTTTTCATACTATTGCATGTGCCTTCATACTATTGCATGAATACATGAAAAGGGCTGGAATGTTTAAAACAACGTTACAGTTACGTATTAATTGTTAGCTATGTCCCCTGATCACACAGACATAACAAAACATCAAAGACAGAATGAACCAATGCATTCATTCACCACGTATCAGAGTACAGATCATGCAGACGTGACACCTGCCACCACCCAGAAACAACTGAAGCGTATCCTGCACAGCAAGTCTGGTTTCATCGAGTAACATTTATGCTAAAGTTTACCAGTAATGTCTATGAACAGCTTAAGCCAGATGACCTCTGTGTAGCGAACATTGTGTTTGACTGAATTTAAAGTTGTTATAAAACATCTCAGGATATCATGGACACCACCCTAGAGATATAAAATATTTGATTGAATTGGAACAAACCCCAAACCATAAGTATGTTTGTGCTTAAATTGTGTCTTGAGATATAGCCATGGCTAGCCATATCTGAAGATCTTGGGGCCGGTTGCATAAACTGCTTAGACTAGTCTTAAAGGAACACTCCACTATTTTTGAAAATAGGCTAACTTTCCAACTCCCTCAGAGTTAAACAGTCGAGTTTTACCGTTTTCGAATCCATTCAGCCGTCTGGCGGTAGCACTTTTAGCTGCAGCTGAAAATTTGCGATTTTCTAGGCCGATATGGCTAGAAACTATACTCTCATTCTGGCGTAATAATCAAGGAACTTTGCTGCCGTACCATGGGTGCCCAGCACGCTCCCTGTGCAAGCAGGTGGTCACGTTGGTTATGTTGACGGAAGTTAGCCTATTTTCAGGCGCTGCGTAATATCATTGCACCTGGCTGCTTGCACCCATGGTACGGCAGTAAAGTTCCTTGATTATTATGCTGAAATGAGAGTATAGTTCCTAGCCATATCCTAGCCTTTTCATTTTCCGTCGGTCTTAGTACACGATGTAACTACAGAAGGGTCAAGTTTTAAATAGGAAAAATATCGAAACTCTTTGGTCATTTTTGAGCGAGATGCTAACGGTCTAATCAGATTCAATGATCTATGCTAAGCTACAGCTAAAAGTGCTACCGCCAGACCCGGAGATCGGCTGAATGGCTTCAAAGACTTCAAGTTCATCTGTAAATCACACAGAACTATCGTTTGACTTTATAAACTTTTATTTCATGCATGATTTGTATGGATCGGAAAACTGAATGCAAAGTGTGAATTCTAGGAGAATTCGTTGTAATTTTTAATTAAATTCTTAGAAATATTAAACGTAATGATAACCATTCAACACTCAAAATATGAGAAATTTTTCAAAGATCAAAAACAACTCTCAAGATGCTTTTTCAGATGATAGAAGTTTTGTTGCAGGTAGGCATTGCATTGCGCTGAGATGTTACGTCCTTTTTCAGATTTACAAGTAAAATCGTCGGTGTATTTCCAGGAGAGAAATGCATTACACGAATGGCTTTCTGTTGTGTCGTCCATTTTTGTGTCGTGATGATGAGCGTATGCACTCTCAACGAGTTGCTAAATGAACAGGTTTTTTTTTTTCAAAGGAGAATCAGTTGCCTTATTGGTTAAAATCCCCAAACTGTTTACTTAAATATTAAATTAAGAAATGACATTAAAATTCAAAGTAATCACTTTGGTAATCTAAAATACTTTTCGGATGTAACTGTAATTTGATTACCACCTATTTAAAATGTAATTATAACGAAATACAGTTACTCATATTTTGTTACTCATATTTTTTCTTGTAGATGCATTATGGTTTATAGTATGTGCACGACTGTTACTGTGACAAACAAAATCCTAGGTTGTCTGACCTTAAAAAGAAATACAGCAACAATTACAGACCAAAACGTTTTCATTTATTTCTCGTTTAATTTCTTTTTTTTTTGGACAAATAAGAAATGTGCAACACAACTTTAACAGAGGTTTAATACTAAAAATGATAATATAATAGTAATAAATATAATAATAATAGAGATTACAGTGATTCCACCAGTGAAATCACAGTTGTTCTACAGTGTGCATATTCATCATCGGTTTCACAATGACCAACATGTGTAAAAAAGACAAAGTCTGCAGTTACAGCTTCATATCCTAACCGTAAATTCGATTTGGGTGAGTTACACATGTCTGTGGCAAAGCTTCTGTGAATAATAGTCCTCCACTGATTAAAAAAATTAATTAACACAAAAGGTAAGCAAAAGCAAACAGTGTACATATTGTTAGGAAAGAAAGATAGGCTAACCTCAATCAGAATGACGCACGTTCACCACATCCCGTTCCTGACCAGTAAGAACGTACATCAGGAGGAACCGCATTGTTTGACATCAGCGATTTTGTAATTGAGGTTTATTGTTGACTTTGTTCTGTGAATATTAAAAGCTTAGATTCTAAGAAAAGAGAAATTAATAGGGATTTAAGAGTTTTTTGAAGTACATTTTTTTTAAATGTTGAATCTCCTTTGTTGCTTTGACAAATTAATCTTAATGACATTTACAGACACAAAGAGGTCATTTTAAAATATATAGTATATAAAAAACAGTGTTATAAATCAGTTTAATATCGCTATTGAGTGTTGGGATGTTTGTTTCCCATATTAAAGTGGTTAAAAGAAATAATCTGGGTTTAATAGTGCTTGATCGACAGCATCTGTGGGATAATGTCAGCTACCACAGAAAAAAAACAAAAACATTTTGACTCATCCATCAGTTTTTTAAAAGCAAAAATCGCTTATAAAAGTAGCTCCTTGCTGTACTTATAATGGCTCTTACAATGGAAAAAAAACAAAAAAAAAACAGAAATTTTTTCTGTGGCAATCAACATAAAAGCGCCACAAATACAGTCGAAATAGTTTAATTTATATTCACCCCAGAACATTCCTTTAAGAGTAACCACTAAAAATCTGGAGTCTTTGGATCCTGTTTTTAGTTAATAAGACATAAAACATCACATTAATTGTACCAGAAGAATCGCTTAATAAGAACGCCTTTTAAAAGAGAAACTGTTCGTTACAAATTACAAAGGTTTTGTATTACTTGAATAAAGTATGCTGGCACTAGATTATTCTGAAGTCCAAAATTTAGGAAGACTGCATTCCCAATACACAACTGGGAATTACATGCTTTTGCTTTCAGCATGACAACATCTCTCACGTTTCCAAAAGAGTACTTGGATGTGAACCAAAGAACACACAAGTACAAAAAAGTAGTCACTTTTTTACAAAAAAGTCACTTTGACGTTGTTGTACAAAGCCCTCTTATAAGAGGGTCAGCATTTCTCCTTCACAGAAACCCCTCCAACATTCAGATCAGACTAACGTCTGATTAAGAAAATCCAGCTTATGGCACTTTCGGTTCGGCCGTCCGTCCGTCCACTTCTGGTAATGTTCAGCTTGAATGGATTCCTGCAAATTCCAGCTAGATTGTGTAGGATGTTCGCTCACTCCCCATTTGGGCTCTGAAACAACAGCAGAGTCCCAAGACTGACCTCTGAGGGATTCTCAGGAAGCAGGAGAATAACGTTCCTCCACTTTACTCTCTCATCAAATATGGCCAACATGACAGCCATTGTACTGAGGTGCTACGTCTCGGTGGATGGAGGCGAATGCGTCACTATCTCTACACAGTCTGACTCTAAGAGGTTCTCTGTATCCTGCTTGGCTCCTTCCTCAACCTCCAACTCGAACTGAAACTTGTCTCCACCATCAGTTCCCGTTTCAAAGAAGGGAGGGGAGGGACTCTGCGGTATCATGCTGTGGTACCAGTTCCTGTTCTCCTCTAAAGTGTCCAAGATATCCTGCGCATCTGGATGCACCAAGTCCGCCCAGGTCTCCCATAGTGGATGCACGATGTAATCAATGAAACCAACCTAAAAGGAAAACAAAAAAAAACAAATGATAAATTCCTTCTAGAAACTGCTCGACTTGACCGATACCTTGTAAAAAAGAAGTGTGCTTAATTGTATTTAAATGGGCACTTGTAGTTTACTACAAGTTTTAAGTATATTTTATAACAACTTTACATTTTTAAAAAGTATATTTTTCAAAATCTGTACCTGCAGATAATATAATATTAAGGAAATAAAGGGCCACATAAAGAGAACACATTCATGACTATGTTTCTTAGCACACTTAAGTACAATTTTAAAGACAAGTTTACTCTGTAATAATGTAAAACTAAAAGTTTTACTTTAAAGTCCATTTTAAGTCATTTTTTCATGCTTTAGAGAAGTACACTTATTTTGATGTGCTGACTAACATAGGAAAGCACATGTTAAGTTTTTGAATATAAATGTACTAAATTGCAACCTCATCATTACAAATGTGTAATTACAAATATTTTTAAATACATGACATACAAGTTTGAACAGAAATGACATTACAGTGTATTTTAGTTGACCATAAATGCTTTTCAGTACATTCAACAGTATGCTTTAACCATTTTTCAAAGACAATATAATTATGAAACTGCACATAAAGATGCACTTTAGTTCTACTTAAGTGGGTCCAAAAACACTAAGTTTAATTAATTGCATTTAGTGTAAATTTAAATTATAATCCATTTTAATTTACAAATACCGTGCAATTAAGTGTTCAAAAACATTACATTGATTTCACACTCAAGTATACTCTTTTAAAGTATATTATTTCCATAATAAGTACACTAAAGTATGCTAAAGTATACTTCTTTTTCCACATGGAATGACTTGAATGTGAAGGATTCTTTGGACGCCCACCTGAGATTTCTCCACTGAAGCGGTGTGTTTGTCACACATCGGGCTGATCTCCATGCCTCGCTCTCTCTCTCGGTCACCCTGGTGGAAGAACTCTTCCATAATGCGGTCCGTCCATTGCTGGTACAGATCTAATGGCTTGGTGGGATTGCTGAGATCGGCACAGTGAACCATATTTCGTAAGACCTGTGGACATTGTGAGACAGGACGTTGAAGGATATTGACTTGTGGAACTAGTAGTGAAGAAACAAATGTTGTTGAGGACACACAGGCCAGGACTCACCTGTATCCTGTCCGTATAGTTGTCCAGTAGCAACACTCCTGAACTGGTCACCTTCTTAGTCTCGACCATTGTCTTCAAGTCAGCCAGTAAGCTCATGTGCTTGGACATGTCTGTTGCTAGTACCTATGGAAAGAAATGGAGACTTAGGGTCTTTCCAGACCTGTAGATCGTTTGCTTAAATTGTTACAATGTTGCATTTTCTTCACTTTCTTAAGGCAACATATCACAATGTGTCACATGTCACATGTGAATATAAATGCCCTCTCATTGGTCAAAGTGCCACTCCAATTCACTTGTTTGCTGTCACCATTTGACACCCCTCAAACGCTGAAACGACTGATTATACAACACGCAGTGTTTCCGTGACTGTTCAAAATGTGAATATGAGGCACGCGATTAGTTGGGTCAATATCACCATAGAGTGCCTTTCAACCCTCATAATACTTTTAATAATAATAATAATAATAAAAATTTTGGTTTTAATTTCCCATTCGCTTTATGTCATATCATAAATAGTAGACACTCAAGTACATTAACATATTAGCTGAGCTCCCACACATTTTTTTAGATAGTTATGGGCCATTATTTGAAGCATAAAACATAAGATATGTCCACCCTGTCATGGACATATATATTACTGTTAAATATGTTTTCATTGCAAAATTAAGATGCAAATGATATTTTCTGAAAGGTATGATGTCCCTTTCCTAAACAGGGTTATTAAAAAATGAATGCTATGTACACCCTGTTATGTGTATGTCCACCCTATCGAGTCTAAGTGGCCGACAGGGTGGACATTTTGAGCATCAATTAGCATATTAGCTTACAACAAACTGTTACTAGCTAAATATTTAGTCTGGTTGTTGAAGAGAATTTGGTATATTTAAACTTACATATTTTGAAAATACTGTATGCGAATCACTTCTGGCATATTTTATGCCGACAGGGTGGACATGTTAAGTTTTTGCAAAGCAAACTCATACGAAGAAAAAGTCACCAAGAAATTTCACCTCAGCCGTTGAAATTCCCGCCACTGAAGAGTCAAAAAATCTGTTGTCCTGATGTCACTAAAGGGGATGGCCTTTTCTTAAAGGGGCCGATTCCCCAATACGACAGGGTGGACAGCCATTCATGGGACATGGACAAACTCTTCTTTTTTATTAAATATAAATATAGTTTTTATTACCAAATGATCAATACACTCAAATTGAGTAATCTCTTATTTAACAAAATATTAATAGGAGAACAACATTTTTAAATTCTATGATTTAACAATATTCTACTATCATTCAAATTTAATGAGCAGTGCATGGGACATAGCAAAATAACACGCATCCTCTTACACAAAACAAAAAAAAATCTACAAAATGTATCTAAAGAGCCAAGTAATGTAATTTTTATGTTAAGTTATCATGGCAAATTAGTTATTTATGTACAGGACACCAAAAGGGCCCCTACAGTGATATTTACCCAGTTGTCTGTGCTACACAAGTTTTATACAAGTTTGGTACCGCAATGTGGGGTTAACATCACAAAAGCGCTGTTAATCCTGCTTCTCAGTGGGGTTTCATAACCCTGAGTGGCACTAAAACACGAGTTCAATACGTGACCATGGCCACGTTTTTATTACATTGTTACAGGCATGTATTGTGGTGTTTTTATTACGTTGCTTCACATATGTATTTCAGCGGTTTAGAATTCAAATATCTGGGGAGTGTTGCCAAATTGTTGGAAAATAACAAACGCCCTACACCAAACCCAACCCTAAACCCACCCGATAGTGTTAACGAAAGCAAAAGTGATATAAAAACGCATTCACTGATAATTGTGGTATTTTAACTTTTATATACTCTGCTTTGAGCTGCTTTGTTAAACCGTAGTTTCATAGGATTTGTACCGGAGTGCTTCAACTCTCAAGTGCAACCCATACATATGAAGCCGTATATGTGATGCTAATGTTCAAAAGTATCGGTTTTTAAAATGGTTTTTGCTATCATAACATAATATCGTGCAAAAAATGAGGGTTTCTTAAAACTTTGGCCCTGTAAATCATAATTTGTGTGAAAATGAATACAAGTTGTCTGAGTCTTACCGCCTCTAGTGTTTATTTCAACTGGAAACTGCAGCGATTTGTAAGTATAGGAATGTTTTTTGAGTTTGCAGAAATGTAGGTAGAGCCATGTATTTGCGATGAGTCTAGGTAGCATTTCTCACCACAAACAGTCTTCTCTAGAGTTCAGGCAATCTCAGACTGTTATTTTGGCATGAATTCAAGCACAATTGCTACGTTGATCTATGCCTAAATGAAACAAACTAAGTGAGAAAATGCTTCAGGTTTGGAAGCAAACACTCCTACTCGACGAAATTTCAAATACGCATGATTTCGTGTGAGAGCGAAAAAGTTGCCCACACAGATTTTCCTCGTGTTCGAATTTTGACCAACAAAAAGCTGCTTGGTTTGAAAGTAACTTCTGTGAGAGCTGTTTGAACACTAAAAGCTTAAAGATGAAAACATCAACGAGCACAAATGCCTACCATATCAATGACCATCTTTCTCAGAGTCTGTCGCTGCTTCTTGGAGAGGTTTTGGAAGATATCACAGTTTTCCCCTTGCAAGAGCTTGAAACCAACAGCCAGATGATGGTTCTCCAGAACAGACTCATCATTGTACATGAGCGCCAGCTCGGAGTCTGCAGTAAAGACAGGCATGATGTTTATGAGAGACATGAAACGTCTTTGTTCTTCCATATGGTTTGCGTTTCAATAACTGCAGCAGTTTGGATCCATAAGCACGCATGGTCTTCTATATCTAGATAAAAACACACTCACTGGTATTAATTAGGAACTGGTTTGAGACTCCTGGGTGGTCCACATCATGGATGGCTGCTGCAAAGATAGCGGCCAGGATCTCCAGGTCTGTAAAGACCGCCTGTGGATAATAATAGAGAAAGACAGTGTTACACGACCCAGATCAAATTTCTGCAATGCACTGAACTGAGTAAAGCATGCTGCACACAGTTTAAGCATTGTAACACAACTCTGCAAGTTGAAACTGTTTCAGTTTTGACTCTGTTTGCCATTGACCTTTAATTGAACAAAATATTTTGCAGATAAAAGACAGCTTGTCTTTTCAAGATTCATTTTTGCGTTAAAAGAAGACAAAGCAAAAAAGAGCTGCAGACAAAACACTTTAGAGATCAGAGGGGTCATGCATCAGGAAAATTAGAGACAAATCAGTTCAAAGGGTTCAGAAACAGCTATGACTGGCTGGAAATGTGGAATGAGGAGAAAATATTTTGTTTCCATTTTATTCTCTTATTTTGTTTTGTATTTCAACTATTTTATTCAATTATTTTGTTTATACATTCATTTTTTTCTCTTATGCATTTTCATTATTATTCCCATTTATTTGTATTTTAATCTCTTATCATGTATTAAGCATTTTACTTCTTTTATTTCTATTTTCTTTTCTTTTAAGCATTTTAATTTTGAAAATTCTTTTTAAAAACGTATTCCCTTATTTTATTATATGCTGTTTTAAAACATTTTTCATTTATATTTTATTCTCTTGTTTTGTTTTATGTATTTACATTTTTCATTTACATCTATTTTATTCTATTGTTTTTACACATTTACTTTTTTCGTTAATTTAAATTTTATTACCTAATTTGTATGCATTTTATTTTTTATTCATTTATTTTAATCTCTTATTTCATGTTAAGCATTTCAATTAGAATTTTTAAATTTATTTTCTTATTTAGTTATATGCAGTTTTAAAACATTTGTATTTGTATTTAATTTTAAAATTTTGTTTTCATTATATGAGGGTGTTTATACAGTATTTTTACATTTGTCTCCAAGTTTTTTGATCCAGTGTGTTATTTCTGTTTTAATTTTGTTCTAATTTTGTTTTAATACCTCTGTACAGCACTTTGGGTGCAACTTCTGTTGTTTTGAAATGTGCTTTATATATTAATAAACTAAACTTAACTAAACTATATGTTTTTTATAAAGCCCTGTGCTAAATAAATAAAGCCTTAAAGCTTTACTACATTATAACTACATTTCTAGGACATATATGAGTTTCTTACATCCAGTGCAGGTGTGGACAGCAGGATGTGTGTGGACTGAGCCACGTCAGCCGCGTGTAGACTGTTGTGATAGGCCACGTCTGCGTGGTAGTGATCTTCAAGGGTCATCATGTACATCACAAAGGTATCCACTGGGATCTTAAATGTCTTCATTAAATCTCTCTCCTACAGAAGAAAGCTGCTTTAGTTACATTTCATTTTTAAAAACACATCTCTGGACTTGTGAGATGTTTTTTTGTTTTGTTTTGCTCACTAACCTGAAAGATGGCATACATGATGCAGGTCAGCGGCCGATGGTGAGAGTGCTCTGAAACTTTAAAGATGTTCAGACCCCATTTGTTGATGTCCTCCAGGTCCTACAAAAGGCAAGAGAGGATATACGTCCAATTACGGTACCAACTCGACAAAAGTGCACGATTTCCGTGCAACAGGTGATCTGTAATGTATAACTATACCTTTGAGAGCAAGTCCTCCAAATCTGTTTTCACACCGAAGCGGGCCGTACTGCAGCTGCTGGACAGACCCGGGCCTTGTGTGACCTTCCTCACCCCGCTGATCTGAGTCATCAGCTGCTGCTGCCTCCTCTTTCTGTCCCGCGATTTTGGAGTGGGCGACGGGATCTCCAGTTCATTCTGTTTGTCTACAGGGGGAAAGGTTTCAGTCCGTGATTGTTAATTTCAGCACTCACACACTCAATTCACAACAGATACCATGACTTTACACACTCTCTGAGTAAATTCAAGTCAGCAAAATGAAGTTCGATATTAGTAAAAGCCACCTACAAGAACTTTTCTGCCAAGTTCAACAGTTCATGCTACAGCTAAATATTCCCTGATGTAAAGAAAGCTTAGACTAGAGTGATGGTCCGAGCTGGTTTAATGCTGGGACTATATAGAGTATATAGTCTCTCTGGAGAAGCTGGCTAACAAGTCTTACTAGTTATGCAAGTTAAGCAGTTTGATGGGAATGCAAATATGAAAACTAAATATACAACGAAACAAGATGAAATGACAAAATGAAATGAAATGAAAAAGATTAAACCTGTTTTGTTCAGTTTGTCTAAAAGCAAATAACGCTCCCCAAAGAAAAATGTAAAAACAATTTTGTTGATAATGGCTAGCTTTGACTGCAGAAATTGTGCATTTTATTAATTTTTATTTTATTTTTTTGGTAGTACATAACAGAAAATATGATGCATGGTTTAATAAAGACCTCACAACAAACATCAAGGTCTTCTGAAGTTGCCTTTAGTTCTAGTAAATAAACTCAATTAAACATTGACTAACAAAATGTTTTTAGTTTTATCTTAAGTTAAAATTCTACGTTCATATTCTAGGTAACTTAGCTTTTGGTTATGGTGAAATAAAAGCATAAACATTTATATTGACATTATTATAGTAAAATATTTTACATAATTATGGTCTTTATGATAAATATAGCCTATTTTTATTTTTACTTTGTATGAATGTTTTTGTTTTTGGAAAAATAAATATTTTTGATAAATACTAAATCAGAATTTAAGGTATAAACTAAACTAAATATAAATATGGTGAAATGAAGTATTATATTAAGTAACATTTTGGCTCATGTCTAAAGAAAATATACAACTTCATTATGGCCTTTACAATAAACATTCTTTGTATGAATGTTTTTGTCTTTGGGAAAACAAACAATTTGGACAAATATTACATCAAAATTAAATACAATTTAAGAAAAACTAATACATTTGACTGTAACAAAGAGTTTTTTGTTTTTCCAAAGTATCATTTTTAAGTGTATGCTGGTGCCACCCCATCTCAGTTGTATGTAACGTTATATCTACTGAGGTTTTTTAAGAGAACCATCAGAGACAAAGTTGATACTTAAAACATGCATGAGAAAACAATCCAAGTCTCCTGAGATGAAAGAGCGATCTCTTGATTTTTTTCTCCAGTGACGTCCCTCAGAACCACACTCTCTCAAACATCTCTTGTTTCTCAGTCAGGAGAGTTGAGCTCTCGCTAACACTGCATATTAAGAGTGTTTGTCTGAAAATCTCCCCGCTGCTGACTCTGTGAGTAAGTGTGTAGGCTGTAGGGCTCTGAACAGCAGGGTTAGGAGAGTACAGTGACCCTGTGGCATCTGACGCAGACTATAGTTTCAGCCCTCCTCTCTCTCTCTCACACACTCTCTCTCTCTCGCTGCGTAGACGCCAGAACAGATCAGACTGGTTTGAATAACAGAGGTGCAGGCGAACCACAGACGTTCAGCAATGATTGAACCCCCTCTTTCTAGATATCAGTGTTTTCATGGAGGAGCTCGACAACCTCTCTATCCACACACAACCTTTTATCATTATCACCATCTGAAGTATGGCTTTCACCAAATTTCTCAGTTTAGCTCACTAGTCTGAAACACTGTATACTGTAGTAAAAACACAGTAGGAAACAATCAATAGATCTTGTCTGATATATAAGTTTCGTGGTTTTTAGTATGGCATATTGTTGTTGAAAGAAGTCTCTTATGCTCACCACGGATGCATTTCTTTAATCAAAAATTGTGAAATATTATTACAATTTAAAATAACTGCTTTCTATTTGAATATATTTTAAAATGTCATTTATTCCTTTGATGCGCAGCTGAATTTTCAGCATCATTACTCCAGTTTTCAGTGTCGCATGATCCTTCAGAAATCATTCTAATATGCCGATTTGATTCTCAAGAAACGTGTTGAAAACAGTTGTGCTGATTAATATTTTTGTGAAAACGGTAAATTTTTTTCAGGATTCTGTGACGATGAAAATGTTCAGAAGAACAGCATTTATTTAAACAGAAATCTTTAATAACATTATACATTTTATCTTAACTCTCTTTACTTGACTTTTAAACCAAAATCTATTGCATCCTTTCTGAATAAAAGTATTAATTGATTTACTTTAAAAAACCTACTGACCCCAAACTTTTGAACAGCCCGTATTTGAAAGGATGACTCCAACTAAAAGGCATTTACAATAATTATGCATACTGCTTTTATGAGTTCAAAAATAACTGGGGTTTTAGTACATGGAATATATTACATTTTCTATTTAAAATATTAAAACATTATATTGTATTCGTATATGCAATAAAATGTATGTGATCTATTTCTTGAATTCCCAAGCTTTTAAACACTCATTTACAAAGGAATTATCAGTCATGTTTTCTTACAAGTGTTTGAATCATCTAATGAAGACGATGAAACAAGCGTTCAGACTCACCTAAGAATGTGTTGGAGATGAACTCAGACACCTGGTTTCCAGAGCGACTCATCTCAGACAGATGTGTCAGCTCCCGATTCAACATCCTCTTGAACTAAAACACACACAAAAGACAAGTCTTGTTAAATTCATACACACTATCGATATTTCTAAACTTCTCATTGCACGGATTGCCAGTCCTCACACTATGTTTTAACCAAGCACTGCAAGAACCTCGAGCAACATCCAAATTAAACGACCAATACATGGCAAACAATGAATAACTCTCTCACAAACACACACCTTAATGTAACCCCAGGACACAGAGAGCAAATAGTTGACTTCAGGCATGTTGGAGTCTTCAGTTGGTCGCCTAAACCCTGAACTCAAACTAAAGCCCAGCACTGACTCCAGCGGCTCCACACCGTCTCTCCTCATCTCATCCCTCTGCGTTCCCTTTCACATCCCAGCCAGGCTCGGATAAACAGCAACCGTCAGGAGAGATCCAGACAGAATTCCAGGAGATCTGCTGCATCTGTCATACGGTGTGTCTCCAACACTAAGTCTTGTTTCTCTCTCGGTTATTTTTGGTCTCCCTTTCACCCTCCTCCTCCTCCTTCTTCTCTCTATCTTTGTCTCTCTCTCTCTCTCTCTCTCTCTCTCCTGTTTTTACACTCCACATCCACTGCTGCACCAAAGACGGACATATGTAAACACACAAAACCCTTTTTTACTTGCTGGACTAACAATTTCAATTTAGCTACATTTATATGCATGTTTTAATTTTTTTTATATCCATACATGCGAGAAGCACCTTTAGTTATAGTTCTATCTATACCATATCCGAGCAAAAAAACAGCCAGACTAAAGTAACATGCAGTCAACACACACACACACACAAATAATACAATTAGCCTATTATTCAGTCCTGCACATCCTCCACATTTAATACCAAGTGACATATCTGTTCCTATCTGTATTTCCGCCATATGTTTTTCTACTGGGAAGTTATGAACAAGGTTTTGCAGCAGCCTGTTTTTACTCAATCAAGCAAATATTTTTTCCCCCAGGGAATGCAAAATTTCTAAAATATATGTCTTGCAAGTTGCATTGGATAAAAGCTTCTGTTGAATGCATAAATGCAATGTAAGTGCACTTCAGCTGATATTAGACACTGTTGAACTGAAGTCTAAATGTTTTAATAGTTCAAATCTAAAAATGCTTATAAAACAAACGTATTTAATAATGACAAATTTTCCAATTTATTTTAAATTGCTTCTTATAAAATATAATAAATTTTTATAGAACAAGATATGACTGTTTTTAAATATTTCTTAAATAAATTAATTATTTTTTACAAAAATTAATAGTATCAATTAATTATTTCAATTTAACCTCAAAATAAATTATTATATATTTTATAGTACAGGATATTATTTTAAAATAATAAATAGTTTTTACATTTTTTTAAAATAAATGTATATATTTAAAAAAAAATAAATGAGTAGTATCAATGAATTATTTAAATTTAACCTTAAAATTAAAAGTGCAGTTGTAAAATAAATTCTAATAAAAGTTATAATAAAAATTGAGAAAGTCAAACTGCTGTGCTATTCCCATTTTTCTCCCTAATGTATTTTAATTTTTGCACACATCTAAACATATTCAAACTTCCAAATATAAAAGACAATTCTGAGCTCATGTTCTCATTTCTTATATCAACATAAAGCATAAGCCAATCCCTTAAACAAAAGAGGACAACCAATCTCCAATAACAGACGAATCAGTTCCTTCAGCATTAAACCTCAAAGCAAAGCCAGAATTTGTTCAAAAAACCCCTTGCACTAACTCACCTCTCTCCAGCTTTTTAGCACACCAAACTTTCTCCTTTTCTCTGAGTAGCATAATCCCATTGTTGCAGCGATGGTGTTTGTGCACTGTTGGTGAGCATGTGGCAAGGCAGTGCCTGTGAGCTCACTTTGACGGGTGTCAGGAAATGCTTTCGACTAAGTGCTGAGTGATTCACCTCTCCTCCTTCACGACTCCCAGCGCCTCCCTCTCTCTGTCTGCAGCCGCAGGTACCGCGCTACTCATGTTCTGACTGCACACACGGGTGGAACTCGCTCAATTACTACTCACACAACTTCAAAGGCATGACAAGAAGACTCAGGCTTTTGTCTTTCATAGATAATGACGTGAATCGAAGACTTGCACAACGTAGCTGAATTTCATTATGTGTCACCTTTCCGGTTCAAAGAAAGATTTAACTATAAATAATAAACCAACAATAATAAATTATTTTTAAATAATCACCTATACACCTAGAATTTTTTTTTTATTCTGTAAATGATATATATATATATATTAGGGTTGTCAGTCGATTAAACTTTTAATTAAACTAATTAATCGCAAACTAAATTTGGCTGTGAAAATACCCACAGAAGATCATTTAAAGCTATTATTGTGTTAAATGTTTAAGCTACAACGGCCTAACAGTAAGTATGGAACAAGAAGATAATTTGAGAAACATCTCAGCATTTTTTGTTCATGCATTGAAAGTTACTGGTAACCAAAACAGCTTTGTTACCAACAGTCCTCAAAATACCTTCTTTTATGTTGTGCAAAAGTAAGTCAATCAGGTTTGAAAAAACATAAGGGTGAATAAATGATGACAAAATTATTATTTATTTATTTTTGGTGAACTATCCCTTTAATGTTATTTATTTATTTTTTAATAAATGAAATGATACTCTAAAAAAGAAACTAAAACGACCAGCAGGTGGTGCTAAATGTCTTTATGAGTCGATTCGTTCAAACGGCTGATTCATTTAGGAAAGAAGTAATCGGTTCACTTTATGAATAGGCTATTGAAACATTGGTTCACACGATTCGTTCAATACGAGGATTCATTCAGAAAGTGTTGCGCGGAGATGCACAACAGTTCTCGTGTGATATTGCTCTCACTGCTTGTGTGATATCACTTATCATACGATATAAATATGTGCTATAATTGCGTTAAAATATTTTAATCGCGTTATTTTTTCATAACTAATTAATTAAGTTAACGCGTTAAACTGACAGTTTTAATCGATTCTCATTTTTACGAAACTATATAGATTCTTAAATCTCTCAAGAATCGATTATTCTAGCCTGTTTTCAGTTAATGGACAGAACGCTGAAGGGCACTTCCCATCCACTATATCTCAATAAGCATTGTGTTTTGGTACTTCAAATATGAAACAAAGTCTCAGATTTAAAATTCTGTCCATTGTATTGCAGTAATAAATGCCGTTTTGGCGCTGTGGTGAGTGACAGATCGCTGTAGCGCCTCAGTTCAACAGACGCCGCAGCGTGTAGCGCACTTGAACTGATCATCTCCTCCACATTAATACCAGCTTCAGCACAAAATAAACATGCCTAAACATCCGAAGGTATATTAAAAGAAAGAGTACAACTTTACAATCCATATCCTGTCTCATGTAATCACTCAGTTAGTGTTTCAGCTGCGCTGAAAATATGAAATTTGATGAAATATGAAATTTAATCTTAAGCTTGGTGAACAGTTTTTGAGAATTTGATGTTTCCGCATTCAAAGTGATAGGAGCTGCACTTCCATGCCCGAGAGGCGTTTCAAAGATGGCCGCCGAGTGACATGACTTGCCTTAAAGGGACTTTGATATAACGGCTTGTAAAAATGTCACGTAACGTCACCTCAGAAAAAAACATATTCGGTGACCATAAACTCATTAGTCAGCTAGAAAATTAAACTGTAGAGAGGGGCATTTTGCTAAATATATGCACCATATAAATGTATTATAATTTTTACTTTTCTTCAATGTTTAATTTATATGTTTTTTATGACAGCCAACATTTAAATGTAAAAAACAAAATTAAGTAGAAATATTATTATGTAATTGTAACTTTTATTATAAAAACTTCATTAAGTGTAATTTAAGCAGTTGTATAGCCTAAAAAATCAGCTAGGTTTAACCTTCAATATTATAGTAATGTAGTACCAACTGACTCTCATGTATATTTTACAGCATTAGTTAGTATATACAGAATTAGTATATATTAACAGCAATACATAGAAATAATTTAGTCAATAAATGATATTTGCCTATTTATAATAACTTTAAACATAATGAACCCTATATATATATATATATATGTGTGTGTGTGTGTATATATATATATATATGTATATATATATATATATATATATATATACTGTATATGTATATATGTATAGCAAATATTACAGAAAGTTAAATAGAATGAAATATAATTTGATTCTGTAAATTATTTTATTCTGTGTATTATGAAATATATATCAGGCATCAGTTTTATATTGTATCTAAATCCGCCAAGGCAAAGTGATTTTTAAAAATGAGAAAAAAGTAACAGACCCCAAAATAAAATTATTCTTTGTTACTTTTATCCTTTATCTCATATTTTAAAATAACTGTATATATCATATATACACTGAAATAAAATTGGTGTACAGTTTAGAATAGTACATTTCATAAATAATTACAAAGAAATGGCAAGTAATATTGAATTAAATGTGAAATTGTGGTAGTAGAAAAAAAAGTAGCAAGACGGACATATTTTTTTTCCTGTAAAGCATACTATAATATTCTTTGTTTTATTTACACCTTCAAAAAAGCATTTTACATATTAAATAATATCACTTATATATATATTTGTAAATATCATTATGCTACAGCTATAATTCTACAATGTGAAATATAATTAATAACTGCATTATATGATAAAATGCAGTGTAATGCTTGGATGTCAGTGAGGTAATGTGTGTCCTCTGTTACTATCTACATCTGATTAGGTATCAGGGTAAACAAAGCAATGAGGTCACAGCTGACAAAGAGGCCAGTGGCAGTGTACTCAAATAATGCCTGCGTGAAAAAAGGGTTTAATCATTTAGTTTTTCACTCTAAGTAATGAGTGTTTCAACAGTTTCCTTTCAACACTGATTCCAGTAAATCCACTGAATCCATAACCACCCACACATACAGAGTTTAATTCTTGTGAGAGATAAAATATGCTAAAAAAGATAAAAGAATTGCTTGGGCCAACTGCCTTTCACCAAGACAACAAACTGGAACTAAGATATTATATTAATGTTTCTTCTGTAATTCTTTGGGTAATAATCAGTCAAGTTGTCATTGCATGCTTTACTGTTGACATATAAATGTGGCAATATCTGTAGATCTCACATCAACATCTCATCATTCATGACGTTCGCAGTATAAACCTCATAGACTCTGTTCTACATGACCAACCACATACTGTATTCATGCATCAGCACTAAAAACTAATAAACCATCAAAGAAAAATTTCTAAAAAAAAAGTTTAAGAAAAATTCTGACATAATTTACTCACTCATTTCATTACAAACCTGTATGAACTTCTTTCTTCTGCTGGACACAAAAGATGATATATTGTAGAATGTTGTTAACTAAACAGTTCTGGTTTCCATAGACTTGCATTGTATGAATAAAAAACACAATGGAAGTCAATGGGGACCAAAACAGTTTGACTGCAAATGTTCCTCAAAATATCTTCTTTTGTTTGCACAGAGGTTTGCAATGACACGAGGGTGAGTGAATGATGACAGAATGATCATTTTTGTATGGACTATTGCCATAAGCAGTGTTTGTAAAATGCCACAATAGAGTGGAAAATCTTCCTTATTGCATCTCATTGTTATTCCAACAAAACTTTGACTTGCTAGGCTTTGAAATAACACGTGAATGTGGAACGCAATAAAAACTACTCTTCTAACATAAACTGAAAAATCTCAGACAAACAAACTTTGCAGTACATTTATGGCTGAGATACAACTATTTGAAAACCTGGAATCTGAGGGTGCAAACAAATTTAAATATTGAGAAAATCGCCTTTAAAGTAAAGTTGTCCAAATGAAGAATGCATATTACTAATCAAAAATCATTCATCAAAAGTTTTGATATATTTACGGTAGGAAATTTACAAAATATCTTCATGGAACATGATCTTTACTTAACATCCTAATGATTTTTGGCATAAAAGAAAAATCAATAATTCTGACCCATACAATGTATTTTTGGCTATTGCTACAAATATACCCCAGCGACTTAAGACTGCTTTTGTGCTCCAGGGTCACAAATAAAAGTTCCAAAAGAGAGGTTTTGCAGCAATTCCGCAGAAAAACACCTTTCAATGAACAGTTTCTAAAAGAACCATTTTTCTTAGTGTGAAGAACATCTAAAGAACTTTTTTTCCACTATAAAGAAGCTTTTGTGCAATGGAGAGATTCCATGGATGTTAAAGGTTCTAAATGGAACCGTCAGTGCCAATAAAGAACCTTCATTTCTAAGAGTATTGAAATGTGAATTTCTCTGAAAACATGCATAAAGATGCCCCGCTGTTTCCAGCAATGCTGAGGTAAAGTGGGAGTAGACGAGCTGCCGTCTCACCTTGTTGGAGGCCATGTCACTGACAGAGCGGTACGTCTGGATGGTCTCCAGCTGGTCCAGGCACCAGTCTAGCTCCTCCATGGTCTCCACGGCCAGCTTCTGGTAGGATTCATCTGGTAAGAGACACACGGATATGCATTCAGGATCCAGCCTCTGCTGCATGGCCAGAAAAGGGGGGGAGTAGACGAGCTGCCGTCTCACCTTGTTGGAGGCCATGTCACTGACGGAGCGGTACGTCTGGATGGTCTCCAGCTGGTCCAGGCACCAGTCTAGCTCCTCCATGGTCTCCACGGCCAGCTTCTGGTAGGATTCATCTGGTAAGAGACACACGGATATGCATTCAGGATCCAGCCTCTGCTGCATGGCCAGAAAAGGTGGTCCGGCGGGAGCGGTGCAGATAGAGGAGCAGTGACCTTTCATGGTGGGCTGAGTGCTGCTGATGTAGTCATTCTGCACTGATAGTAGCTGGATTAATAGCTCACTCTTCGCTTCATAGTCTTTTCCATTGTGTCACCGGCTCGGTCTCCAAACTCACCTACTGTGCAGTCTGTCTGCCAGTCTCTCTCTCTCTCTGTGCTGATGTGTCAATGAGCCTCAGACCCAGGGGCGCTTAGTGGGAGGGACTCAAAAACTCATTCCCTATTTCTCTCCTCTTCTGTTGACTGAAAATGTAGTTCATTGAAACCAAATTGGGGAGAGAATGATTAATGCTCAATTATCTTGTTAGTAAATTATCTTGATGGATGAATCTCATTAAAACACACATTAAGGTCATTATTTAAACCCAAAACAACAAGAAAATGAAGCCTATTTTTAGGACCGCAATGCATTTGTAAAACTGTTGTTAATTCATGATCATAATACGTGTTTTGAGTTTTTATTTTTGTACATTTTTTTCAATGCTGATGATGTAGTGTAAGAAAAAACATCACATTTATATATTTTAAATGCTGTCATTTTCTGCCAGGACATTTTCTGTTAAGTTTAACAACATTTTCTTTCATTGTAAAATACAACACAATGTAATGGGTAATTCAAAACACAATATTATTTGGAATTTTAAATGTAATATATTCATTGTAAATAAAAATAAAATATAACAATATAATAAATAGTAAATATTAAACTATTTTTTAGCATTAGAGTAATGAGAATTATAGAAGTGCATTATGGTATTGAGAGAGAATGTACTTAAATATCATGAAAGTAATGTCATAAAAAAACAAAACAAAACAAAAACATAACTGTCCCTAAATAGATTTAATTGTCTTTATACATAATCAGTGGGAGGGACTCAAAAACTCATTCCCTATTTCTCTCCTCTTCTGTTGACTGAAAATGTAGTTCATTGAAACCAAATTGGGGAGAGAATGATTAATGCTCAATTATCTTGTTAGTAAATTATCTTGATGGATGAATCTCATTAAAACACACATTAAGGTCATTATTTAAACCCAAAACAACAAGAAAATGAAGCCTATTTTTAGGACCGCAATGCATTTGTAAAACTGTTGTTAATTCATGATCATAATACGTGTTTTGAGTTTTTATTTTTGTACATTTTTTTCAATGCTGATGATGTAGTGTAAGAAAAAACATCACATTTATATATTTTAAATGCTGTCATTTTCTGCCAGGACATTTTCTGTTAAGTTTAACAACATTTTCTTTCATTGTAAAATACAACACAATGTAATGGGTAATTCAAAACACAATATTATTTGGAATTTTAAATGTAATATATTCATTGTAAATATTAATAATGAAATAAATGACAAAAAATATTCTTTAAATAATATAATAAATAATACATATATTCAAATACTATTTTAGCTTTATGAAATGAAAATAAAAGAATTTAAAAATATACTTTAATACAATTATGTTTGCATATATATATATATATATATATATATATATATATATATATATAAAAATAAAATATAAC